GAAAGATCAGGAGAAAAAGAAGAGGTGAGAGCAAACACAAGGGACGAGAAAGTAGAAAGGGAGGGAGAGAGACCGGCAGGCAGAGGAAAGAAACAAAAAAGGGAAATGAAGAAACCAAAAAAGAAGGGGGAAACACATTTGAGGAAACAAAATTAGAAAATGTCAAGGGCTGTACTTCTCAATTTTGACCGGAGGATAGATAGTTGAGAAAAAGCGCATGGGAGAAGAAGACGATACAGATACAGGTTAAATCACCAGTGTCCCAGAACCTATTACGTTGAACCCAAAAAAACTACCATGCCTGGCCTGCCAGCCTGAAAACGTCAGGCCTACTGTGTCACGGCAACTATAATCATTCCCGTTTTCGTTTTTTTTTTGACTCCATTTTACAGCAGAATCTAAACTGCATCCCTGATTTTTTATCGGAATTTTTGGCCGACCGGAAGGAGCATTACAATTCGCTGAAGTCAGGGTACTCAGAATTATGAGCGCCCCCCCCAACACCCCACTTCAATCTGATAAGCCAAGTCTTTCATATTGCAGTGTGTATACACCACGAGTTTCCAAGTAAATGGGCCAGTACTGGTGCAGTGGCACTAGTACCTCCACCAGTGTTGGGAAAATACTGGCAGTTTACCCAAACTCCTTAGAACTCAGGGGCTGAGCCCGACGACGGCCACCGTTGATCAATCTCATCGGCGGCCGTTGTTTCATTTCGGCCTCCTAAAGGATCAGAGGGCCACCTGAGGCCTCACTATTTTCCCAACTGGCGGAGGTACTAGTGGAAGAATGTTAATCCACCCATAATACTTTTCAATGGCAAGTTTATGAGACTTCTACCGTGCACGTGCTGCGTCCTTCATGATGTACCAGCCTGACACACAGCAGAAAACACATCCAGGCAAAACCAATATCACCACCACTAGCAGTACCAACTGGTGTTTTAGAGAAGGGGGGGGGGGAGGGGGGGGAGGAAGAAGAAGAAGAAGAAGAAGAAGAAGAAGAAGAAGAAGAAGAAGCCTGCACAGCCCTGTTTTGCCTGGATGAATAACGCACCCCTTGGCAAGCCGGAGTACATCTCGAAGGGCGCGGGGTATGGCATGTCACATCGGACAAATTGGACTGGGAGTAGTACTGGTGGTTTAAGAGTACTCGTGCAAACCAGTCTGTCATGCAAAACGAAGGAGCTATGGTTAAGTGAAGTCGAGCAAACCAACCTGTCCCAAATATCCTGTGGTTCCACTTTCCACAAGTGGCACATTAGCAGCCAAGCACATCCGATTGACATGACGGCGCGCTTCTAAATTGTCCAGCCCATTCATCACCACAGAAAACTTCCCAAAGAAGTCTAGATTAAACTTGGGGTCTTTCACATTTGCATGGTGAGCCACAATCTTTGCATCGGGCCGGAGTTTCAAAGCAGCTTCACGGGCAACCTGCAGAAGGTGCAAACAGACAGTACCACAGGTACAATCAGACAATGAAGAAGAACTCACAAAAGGATAACGGACATGATTCCATGAAAGCATTCACCTGTCCGTCTGCACAAAGAGACAACTGAGGGCACACTCACACTAGCACTTTCCTGAATGTATCGAACTACAATTACGCCCGAACCTGAATGCATCTGACCGCAGTAATGTCCAGAGCTGAGTCGAGAAAGTCCTAGTGTGAGTATGCCCTGATAACTGCATAAGAACACATAAGAGAACACAAATGTCACAAGTTCAAACAACTGACAGCTGGGGGAAACAAAAACAATTGAGGGCCAAGAGATCAGCACAGACTAAGAAGGAAATGCGGAGTAT